CACAAATTTGCAAATAGGTGTGGTTGTTTTGCAAATGTTAAGCAAACAAGATCACTAAAGGTTAATGACTGTGAAAACAAAAACAAAAAAAAAACCCTGAAACAAACAACAGAACAAAACAGAACAGATGAGATGAAGAAGCTTTAGCAACTGAACTATGATCTTCTATTTGGGGGAGGGTCAAGTCTTTCTCAAATATCCTTTTCTTTTTCTAAATCCTGTTCTCATGTCTAGCTCATTTTTCATGGCTACCCCCACCACAGCCAGCACAATCCCAAAACCTGAAATTCAGAGCACACATCTGGAGCAGAAGTCTCTACAAGTAGCACTGCCAGGTTGCTGAAAATGCTCGTTTTCAAGATGCATATGCCTGATTACCCCCAGTAGCTTTCTGGATGGTCTTTCTTGTTATCATATGCAGGAAGATTATACTTCTTGTGTATACAGTTCCCACATGCAAGAAAATTCTCTTTACCCCAAAGGAACAAGGCAAAGACATTTCCTTCTGATACATTTTAGTGAAGACTCATGTTTCTGAAAGGAGTTATTCCCTCTACCCTGGGGCTTTCTAAAAGTGTTCTGAAAGCGAGACACCTCCAGAGATATGCCTGGTACATAGTTTATTCCCTCCACATCATCACTACAGTTTTGAGGACAAATAGGAGTGTTTTGTAGACAGTGGTGAAACACAGAAATTCACTCCATGGTTAGTCTGATATAACTGTTAAGGAGGTATTCTTTATTTAGCAGCGCTGGGCAGCACTGGGGATCGTTCCACCACAAGTGCTCCAACAGACCAGAAAAATCACAGAGAATGTATGATGTGAGATTATACATATCCAGTGGATCTCTGTGAACTAATCTACAAATACATAAGATTTCCTGTAACTTATCTATGTAGTCCAAGCATGTGTGATAAAATTAGGGTTAGGGTCTTTTCCTCCTCTGGTGGTCATTCATAGTCTTCCTCACAGTGTTCGCTGGTTGAACTTTGGGTTTCCTTTGCCCGTATATGGTCATGGAGTGAGCTCATCTGTTCTTGGGCCCTGGGATGCTCCAAGAAGGTCAGTTTTAATTAATTTACAGGTGCTTATCTTGACACTGGTGTCTTGGGCCCCTGCTATCAGGGTAGTCAGGAAGCTTAACAAACCATCTCAAGATGTACTTAAATTTTCTCAGGGAGAAGTTGCATAGTTCAAAACATCTTGTTATTAATTCTGCCTAGCAATTAACTAAACAATGCGAGTGAAATTAAGAAAATAATATGAGTGGAACATGCTGACCAACTATAAACAAGTTCTTTGCTCTAAACAAGAGAAATTGGTTTGGCCTTCTCTCTTTGGTGCACAGCTAGAGTGCACTCTCAGTGCAGGCCACATCTTTCCTGACAATTTTTCTCAAGGCGTGGTTGACCTCTCTGTGAGTCAGGCTACAGTGGGTTGACCAGGGGTGTGAGGATGGTGTGGAAAAAGGAGATGACTTTGTTCAGGTTTCTCAGTGGAAGGGTCCCAGGCAGCAAATAGACAATAAGAAGTGTCCCTTAGAAAATGCTGACCACAGTGATGTGTGAGAGGTTTTCACTTCTCACACATGGTGGAGAAGGCCTTCTCCTTCCCCATGCTCGATGGGATCCTTAGGATAGCATCTGTAATGCAGACACAGGATGCCAGAGTGAACAAAACCAGCAAGACTATATTTTGGATGGACATTGCAGCAACCTGGTGTCACTACAGCAGAGGTCCATCAAAGAGATCAAATCACAGAAGCGGTCAGTTGGGCTGGGGCCACAACACTTCAGTTGGCTTAAGAAGTATGTGATGTTTGTGAGACTAGTCATTCCCCCAAGCCAAGATCCAGATGCCAGCTGGAAAAACACCTTCCAGTTCATCATGCTTGTATAGAGCACGGGGTGACATATGGCCAGGGTCTGACTGTAGGACATTGTGGCCGGCAGGTAACACTTGGAGACTGCAAGAGTTCCAAACAAATAGAGCTGAGCCATACAGTCCTGAGCTGGCATGGTCCTGTCCTCAGTCAGGAAGTTGGCCAGTAGCCTGGGCAGGCTGTGGGAAGTTTAGCAGATCTCCAAGCTGTTCAAATTCTCTGGAAAGAAATCGGGCTGTGGATATGCTGGTGTGTTGCCATCAGCACAACAATGAAAATGTTCCCAAGCACAGTCTCTGCACTGAGAGGAGGAAGAGAGGCACCTGGAATCAGATTGTAAGGGAAAGAATACTTCCTAGAGTCATAGTTTGTTTCCTCACTGGCTAATACTGCTTTACACTTTCTTCCCCAATGACCAAGGAAAACACACAACTGATGTCATATCATATCAGATACTCTTTCTCCTGTCTGTAGAAGGATTGGCACTGCAGGTATTGAGTACCTCTGAGCTTTCCTCTGTGGTTTTGGGGCTTTGTGGTCTGTGCTGCCAGTAAGAGGCTGAGTGAACAGAGGGTGAAGTGGGGAAGGAGCATCCTCTTGTGCATGCTTGTTGTAAATACCCATTATGCACCTGAGTCCCTGCTTGAGGAACAGTACTTTCTGCCCAGACTGAATCCTAAGGTTTTCCCAACATTGTGGATAAGCACAATGATGTCCCTGCTGATTTCTTCCCATGATTTTTGAGCCTTTACAGGGAGATGGAGGCAGCAAAGAAAAGCACCTAGGTGGTCTGTAGAAATCCTGGGATGGATAGGCTGCTCAAGAAGGGTGATGCACCCAAACTCTTAATACCCTTTCCTCCTAGTGTTAGCGGTTGCTGGGATGAATTGTGTCTGGAGGTGCTGATGACAAGTGCAATTAGGAGACATTCCCCCACTGAACACTGAATGGAGAGAGTGAGGACCTTTCCTGTGATGGTGCCTGGGAATGAAGACTCAGGCCTGGGTGTCGCCTGTTCTGCCCCATATTGCTTGCCTCCCTGTACTCTCTGAAAACCCTTATCTCACAAGAAGGCCCACAGAAAGTTCAGCTCTTTCACTCTTCCATAGAGGGAGCTCTGAGCCCAAAGCACCTGAATGCCATTTCCTAGTGTTATGGAAATAATCAGTGTCCTGGAGGGTGTCTCCCTTGGGATTCCAGGGAGGGAGCCCTGCATAAGTGTATCCCAGCTGAGGATGAAAGCTCTGAGCTGTGCAGACTGTTTCAAACCCCCCAGGCGATGACTATCCCTCCCCAGACCTCCAAAGCATTTCAGCCTGCTCTGAGAAGAAGAGAAAGTTAGGTGGGACAACAAGCACAGGCTTATCCAAATTGATGCAGCAGAGCCCAGGGGGCTCCGGAAAGGGGATTCAGCTCAAATCCTGCAGAAGACTATACTGGGATTGACTCCTTCAGAACTAGGCAGCTGTGAGTAACTGAGGTTGCCTTTTCAGCCTCTGCTGATGGTCAACAGGGAGAGAGAAGCAGAGTCTGGTATCTCCTCCAGGCCATAGAGACCAACAAAGAATGATCAGAGGAGTCACCCTTGGGAGTCTCTTGGAAGGAAGAAGCCAAAACCTCTCCCTGGATCAACAGTGCATTTGTTGGTGGCTGGAGTAAGCTGAGTTACCAGTATTTCCTCACAGTTATGATTCACCTCTCCAAAATGTGAAGTCTCTAACGCCCTTCTTTCCTCCTTTTACACCCCAAGGAGCTTGGGAGGGCACATTCCTCTCAGCCCTGTCCCATTTTCATCACTGGGGGAGGTGGCTCCTCTGTCTCCCCAGTGACCTGCAGGGCAGGAGGGGGTTGCCAGTGCACACAGCCATTTGGGCTGTGTCTGCTCCAGACAGCAGAGGTGAAGCTTAGAGGGAGAATAGCATTTATTTTCAGAGTTGCATGCTGCAATGGAGTTAAAACTTTAGAGCTAAAACCAAGTTGGAGATGACAACTTTTCCATTACAACTATGAAAAGTTAGACATCAGTCATCTATCTGCTGGGCAAAGTATTGCTACAGCTGCTACCACTAAGATCAAGCTGAAATAAGTTCAAGCTAAAAATAGTCTAAATTGCCAGTAAAAAACTGGCAAGTCCTCAGCTCTTGTCTTGCTAACCTAGAACAGGTCTGTGCGCTTCCAAGGGCAATAGCATCACCTTACTTAGTGTATTGCAATACACAGCTCTCTGGGAAGTGATGATATTTCATGCCCCTCCTGGTGACTCATAGGTGGCCCCTGGATGGAAGGATCATAGGCCCAACTGAAATAAAGGCTATGTCACACCTTTTGGCTTATGGAAGATTCAATCTTTATTGGAAAACAAATCAGAGACTTTGCCAACATGGAGTGAGACCCATGAACTCAGGGAAGGAGGGAGCACATTGCATATCTGGTTTAGTAATCAAAAGCTCCTGTAGTTTCACCTCTAACATGCTGATACTTTTCAAAGCAATCTTGCCCCACATGCGTTCTCTTGGATGTTATGATAGACTGGATCCGATATAGAGGTGAGTTTTGTTTCCAAAACAATTGGTTTACATGGCAATGCAGATATGGGAGTTCCTAACACAGCCAGGACTTTTGGGGTAAAGTGGGATGCAACAGGAGTCCTTCACTGGGAGCCACTGCTATTGTGCCTGCCGTTGACACCTCTAAACACTCATCTTTTATAGTGTGCACAACACTTTCTTGTCAAGACAGAAACCACAGAATCATAGAATCATTTAGGTTGGAAAAGACCCCTAAGATCATCGAGTCCAACCGTTAACCTAACACTACCAATTTCCCCATTAAACCATGTCCCTAAACGCCATCTTTGTGGAGGCCAAGTAGCTCATTTTGTCAAAGACAAATTTGGGAAGGGCAACTACCGGGGAATGTGGTGCTTCCTTCCCACTCCTACCTGTGCCCAAACCAAACATGCTGGAGGCTCTGAATTAGAGCTTTTCTCCTGAGGAGTTCAACATGATACAGGTTCAGCCCAACTAGTATAAGAAATAAGCAGAGAGAATTGATTTCTAATGTAAGACCCCAGCTGGTAACAGCACTGGTATCACAGCATGGTAGGTGAATTTAGGCTATACTTTCTGGCCCTTTTTAGTTCTGCAGGTGCTGCCAGCCTGTAGCACAAGGCATGTGTTGAGCTCACTTGGCTTCATGCTGCTCCCAAGGAGGGTGTTGGCTGCCTCCAGGCACTTGTCTAACTGAGTGTCCTGTGTTTGAATGAGTGGTGGGGATTTTTGGTGGCGGGGGTGGGGGGTGGGTTATAGGGGTGGCCCCCAGTGAGAAGCTTCTCAAAGCTCCCCCAGCTCCAAGTCAGCTCCACCTCTGCACCAAAACTGAGCCCATCAGCTGCGCCTCTGTGATAATGTATTTAAGAAGGGATGTGGTGACGGGCTGTCAGACTTGGGAGGAGGAGTTGCGGCAGCTGCGTGAACACCAAGGTCAGTGGAAGCATGGAGGGGGGAGGTATGCCAGAGCAGAGACCCCCCTGTATCCTGTGGTGAGACGGCAGGGCGGCCCCCCCCCGCCACCCATGGAGATCTATGGTGGAGCAGACATTGACTTATGGCCTGTGGTTTTTGCCTGGTAGAACAAAGTGCTGTGCCTGAAGAAGGCCGGGGTCTTGTGGGAAAAGGTAGCTCCTGCTGCTGTAGTTCGGCACTGGGAGGATTGCAGCATGCGGGGGTGTCCCACACCAGAGCAGCTCGGGAAGGGCTGCAGCCGTGGGAGGGACTCCAGTTGGAGGAAGTTAGTGACCCATGACGGAGCAGTGTAAGGAAATGCTGCAGCCCATGGGAGGAACTCATGTTGGAGAAAGTTTGTGGAGGACTGTAAGAGGGGGACCACGCTGGAGCAGGGGGAAGAAGTTCCAGAAGCTCCCCATCATCGAAAATGGCAAAAGCGGCAGCAGTGACTGCACCCGCCATTCCCTGCCCCTGCACCGCTGGGGGAGGAAGTAGAGATATCAGGAGCAGAACTGAGCCCGGGAAGGGAGGGGTGGGGGGAAGGTGTTCTCAAGATGTGGCAATGCTTCTCACTGTCCTACTCTGTTATGTGTTGTTAGTGTCTGGAATAAATGTATGTTCTTTTTTTCTTCCCCTAATGAGTCTGCCTTTTGCTCATGACCATAAAGGGGGATTTTTTCCCCATCCCAGTCCTATCTTGAACCCCAAGCCTGGCTCTCTGTCCCTTCTAATTGCTGGAAGAGAAGGGAGAGAGAGTGGCTGGGTGGTGGTTGGCTGCTGACCAGGCTCAAACCATGACACTGGGATACTGCAGCCAGGGAGAGACAGCGGCACTAGGGGAGTCAGGCAGGAGGGAGAAAGGAGAAAAGGAAACTGTGGTCCTGCAAAGGGGTCAGGCAGGTCCCACTAGAGAGAGAAGGGAGGAGGCTGTGCTGTGGGGAGCAGCAGGAAAAGGACCCTCAAGTCTCACCAGCTTGGCTGCACAGCCAGGTCATAGCCTTGGCCTCCAGCACCTCACAGAGGTCTTGGTAGCATTTGTCGTTTCTGTGCATCCAGGTCACAGCCAGCGTTGTGGCCCAGACACTTGGCTCCATGACCTGCAGGAGAGCAATGACTCAGGCCAGCACCCAGTGCTGAGTGTCCTCCCTGCCCCCCACTCCTTCCTTTGTGGATTCTGGTTCCTGATCCCTTCATTCCCTCTCTGGCTGCCCTTGGGATGCCAGTGTTGCCACCAGCCAAGAGGTTCCCACTTCCCCAGGATGACACACTACCACCATAAGAGGTTCTGCCTTTACCTCACCAGGCATCTTTCCCTTGATTTCAGACTCATCAATTTCCAGCAGAGGCCAGTCCTGACCTGAGGGCCTAGGAACCACCCACATTCTACAGTGCTACCAGCTCCTGGCATTCAGCAATGGCTTTGGTGAACCAAGGTCCAAAATTTGGAGAGCACCAAAAAACTTCATGGGGATCCACATACTTGAGAGAAGAAACAGATGGTAGTGGTGGTGGTTTACAGACTGTGGGAGATGGGAGCAGGATAGTTGGGAGAATGACAGGAAGCTGACCCCTCTCTACGGCCCTGTGCAGTGCCCCAGAACATTCTCAGTGCTCTTCTTTAGGCAGTTACTTGCAGTCTAAGCTCCTTCCTGCCTGTCCCCAAAGCACTCCCATCCACAGACCTTCTGGACACCACTAACTCACCCCCACCTTTCACAGTTGCTGCTTCTCCCAGAATTCCTCTCCAGCCATGTCCCAACACCTCTCTTGATAGCCCGTCAATGCATCTTATCCAAATGTGTATTTATGATCCATTACCATCCCTGTCCCCTCTCTGGGTATCCCCAAGCTGAGTCTCATACTCACTGAAGGACTTCAGGTTTAAGGGTAACTAAAGGAAAAGTTAAAGGCAAAAATCATTGGTTTCCACACCACGGGCAAGACATGGCAGCATAACCCTCCTGTAAGATATTAGATTATCCCATACCTTTTGAGCAAGCCCCCCGCTGGGGCAGGGCAGCAATGCCATGGGTGAGTCGACGGAGGGCAAGCCATGACTGACACACTGCTGTGAGCCAGCCAGGTGGGATCCAGGCACTCACAGGATAGCAGGAAGAGGCGTTATCACGGCCATGAAGCTTAATGATCTTGCAGGGGATGAGCGACTGGCAGGGGTGGCAACACTGCCAGGGGCCCTTCGAGGGCAAACATAGAAAGGGGCTGAAGTAAGCACATGGGAAAGAAGCGCCTGGTGGTGATGGGGCCTACCCCATAAGACTGGGGGTGCCCTGTGGCTGGGGTTCTAGCTCCAGTGGAATGAGAACATCCCATGGACCTGCCCCACCAGCTCTTTCCTGCCAGTGTCTTTCCTTACCTTGGTACCAGGTGACCCTCTGTGATGTGTGAACCCCGACATATCTGGTAAAGGGGCATGCGGAGCCGCGGATGAACGACACGCCGAGACGGGTTCAGTGTGAAAGATAGAGCATCAATCAATGTGTGTGTTTATTGGTCCAGGGTACATATATTTATACAGACAATGATAATTATTATGCCTACTAGTCACTAGCTGATTGGCTTAAGCTCTAAAGGTCGTATTCGCACAGTCCACCTACTTGCAGTTAGCTTACAGCACAAGCTTCTCATAACACTAAGTTTCTCATGCTACTATTTCTGATTCCTATTGACTTGTTTTTGATACACGACAGTACCGTAACACAATGTTTCTCAGACCACCGTTACCATAACACTAGGTTTCTCAGACCACTATTCCTAATTCCCCTTAACCTGTTTTCGACACACCACGGTACACAGGGCTGAAGCGTCCTTGACATTCTTGATGTATCAGCAGCTGCGAGCAGCTGCAGGCAAACCCTAGTGAGGCCCAGCATCAGCAGCTAGAGCAGGCTCTGATCATACAATTGCTCGGTGGGCTCAGGACCCTTGTCTCTGATCCATTCTCCAACAATTCCCCCTTTTTCTTTTTGTATGAGCAGAGCCTGTGCTAACGTTTGTTCAAAGATTTTCTTAATACATGACAAGGCACAACTTAGGCATGCAGGCTTACAATCTATTGGCTAAAGGCACAGGACCCTTGTCTCTGAGCCATTCTCCAACAATTCCCCCTTTTTCTTTTTGTAGGAGCAGAACCTGCCCTAACGTTCGTTCAAAGATTTTCTTAATACATGAGAAGGCACAACTTAAGCATGGAAGCTTACAATGTGTTGGCTAAAGGCACTTATCATGCACCCGGAAGTGCTGTGATAGGTCTGCATCGTTAGCACGCGTGAACAAACTAACCCTACTTTGTGGTTAGTGCATCCAGGCATTCAAACAGGGAGGAAGCACTAGATTGACTTCCTCCTTCTTGCCCTTCCAGGTGATCTCAAGGGCAGGATTACCACGTGGCAGTTTTCTGATCAGAGACCCAGCCTGGATTGTCCAAACCCTGTAGGATCAGTGCATAACCCTGATCCCCCCCAAAAAAATTCCTACCAGGTTTTCCCCCTTTTTCTTTTTTGGACAATCCAGACTCCTTTTAACGTTTGAATCATAGCATTCATAAAGCATTTCCACACAGACCCCAATACCATCATGACAATCATAATGACAATCAGCATTACCAGTCCATGCATCAACAAAGCTTTCAGCCACCCAGTAATTTCCAAGTTTTGTAGATTTGCAACCATCATCAGTCCATTTTCCAAATTCCCAAGTCTCGTAACCAGTCTGTCAGTCCATGTTCCAATCTTATGCAGTCTTATGTAGCAAGAAAACCATCCTTACAGTTTTAAAAGTGTCAGCAATTGTAACAACAGAGTATGCAATACAGAATGTTGTACAGGTTTCACCATGCTATGTTCTAAACATTGCAATGAACCCACAACATACAATGAATCTGATACTACATGAACAAGTTCTTGATACCAGTGTTGATGTTGAAACACCCAAATGACAGTTCAGAGTTCTAAAGTTCGTAAGGAGTCTCCAGACGCCCCGAGGAGAATCTTGTGATCTTGAGTTCCCAGGTGTCCCCCATTTGTTGTCACTACCAGGCAGGCCAACGCTCCAGCAGCATGCCAGTCCCCTTCTAACAAGGCATCACGAATCACCCCACTCCATCGGGACTGAGCTAAAAGCAGAACTGGTTCTGGTAAGGGTGACGGGAGTGGGTGTGAGGGGGCTGCCGGCAGCACTTCCTTTTCTTGTAATTGTAAATGCAGAGTTCTGTTCTGTAGCTCAACTTCTGTAATTTTCTTTCAAGTTCTCGGATTCTGTCCCTGTCCCTTACCGATGTGTGACCCTGTTGCTTTAATTCGGACAGAGCCGCCGTTTTTCTCTCCGACTCTCACGCTGACACGCCGTCAGGGGTGGAACCATCCGAAGGGCGGGGGGGTGGGCAGAGTTTATGGTGGCACGCCGCTCCACCCGGTACCCCCGTGCCACCTGATTTCTCTGCCGCTTCTTGTGCGGTGGAGCAAACACAAATACTTGGTGACATGCCCTTAATAGAGCGGAGCTGCTGATTAACCCCGAAGAAGGTGGCTAATCGTGACGGACGGTTGGTTTCGGCAGGGACCGGCGGGGATGGTACAGCGCCGACAGCCGCCATGGCAGCAGCAGCTACTTTCTTTTCTGCTGGCATCTCCCTCAGGGCTTTTACGATCATTCGCCAGACCACCCCTTGCTGTCGTGCTTCACTGCCTTTATTGCCTCCAGTGATAGTCTCGTCCCACAATAAATCACCTACTTCGCGCCACTCCTGTTGGCTAAATATTAGCGAGGGGCCATCGTCCCTCTGCCCCTCCGCCTCTGAGGTAGGGGGGGGGTGGGGGGGGGCATGACTGTAAAGATACTGGGAGGGGACTGGCCTCCGGACTTTCCCTATTCACATTAACTGTAACTGGCCCTCCTGTTGATGGTACAGGAATATGATCACTGTCAAAAAGCATAGATCTGGATGCCTCACTATCTGGGGTAACAGTGGAACTTTCCCCCCCCAACTTTGCAGTTGCCACAGCTGCAAGGTTCTTTTCAAGCTGATACCGCCCACTATTATTCACCACCTCCCGCCATGGTTTCATCATTTTCCTTGCAGCTTTATCGTCATCAATTACCATATCCCACAAAACATCACCTAATCGTCTCCACTCCTCGACATCAAAAAGAGAATTAGGATCTTGAAAACATCCTTTGACCCGTCCTAATGCTACTAAACCCGCGAGTGATTTTATGCAGTCCACTCCCCGCTTTTCTAAAAAGCGCTGTAATAAATCCAGGGCTACCTCCTGTTCCATCTCGTCAACCTGGTGCTCCTTGGTTAAGGCACCTCCGGTCCTGTGCTCCCTGGATAAGGCACAGTACCGTTACTGCCGATCCACCCCTGATTAAGGCACCATCGGTCCTTTGCTCCCTGCTGAAGGCAAAAAAAAATACTCCCGCCGGCTTGTGCTCCCTGTTTAAGGCACAAAAAATACTCCCGCCGGCCTGTGCTCCCTGTTTAAGGCACTAAAAACACTCCTGCCGGCCTGTGCTCCCTGTTTAAGGTACTAAAAATACTCCCGCTGGCCTGTGCTCCCTGTTTAAGGCACTAAAAATACTGCCGCTGGCCTGTGCTCCCTGTTTAAGGCACTAAAAATACTCCCGCTGGCCTGTGCTCCCTGTTTAAGGCACTAAAAAATTACCCCCTTTGATATGTTGCTGATGCTCCGTGACTAAGGCACCAGGTGCAGCTCTTGCCAGCAGCCCTTGCGGAGAGCGACCCTCTATCTCGGTTCAGGTCCTTGGAACAACCTGTCGGAGGCCCACTGTCTGATCGTTCTTGATTCGCCTAGGCGCTGCTGTATCTGATATTTCCCAGCGTTTGTTTCTGCCGCCGCTGTATGCAGCGCCTTTCCGCGTCAGCTTCCGGCGCCCCTCTGCGTCAGTTCCGGCGCCTCCCCAATTCCACTTCCGGTGCCACCCTGCACTCGCCTCCAGCGCCCCCTTGCGTCCTTCCCCGGGGCCGCTCAGCGTTTGCCTGTGGCGTCCCTTCGCGTTCGCCCCCGGGGCTGCTGCAGTCGGCTCCTTACCACGTCAGTTCTGGCACCTTTCCACTTCCGCTCGTGGGGCCACTCACTTCTGGTCTCGGGGCCGCTCCGCCTCCGCTCTCCGGAGCCGGTCACCTCCGCTCTGCGGGGCCGGTCTGCCTCTGCTCTGCGGGGCTGGTCACCTCCACTCTCGGGGCTGCTCCGCCTTCGCTCTCGGGGCCGGTCCAGCCGGCTTCTCTCCGCGTGCTCTCCCTGGGATGCTGGGGACGGTGCCTCTCCATCTCAGCTCGTGGACCCTGAGCGCTGCTGTATTTGGTGTTTCTCTGGGTCTGTTCTCGAATTCCTCGGTTGTTGCTGTTTTCTCCGGGTCCGCTGCTCCGTCTGTGTTATTCTTCTATGTAGGTCCCTGTTCGGGCGCCATCTTGCGGAGCCGCAGACAAATGACATGCCGAGACGGGTTCAGTGTGAAAGATAGAGCATCAATCAATGTGTGTGTTTATTGGTCCAGGGTACATATATTTATACAGACAATGATAATTATTATGCCTACTAGTCACTAGCTGATTGGCTTAAGCTCTAAAGGTCGTATTCGCACGGTCCACCTACTTGCAGTTAGCTTACAGCACAAGCTTCTCACAACACTAAGTTTCTCATGCTACTATTTCTGATTCCTGTTGACTTGTTTTTGATACACGACAGTACCGTAACACAATGTTTCTCAGACCACCGTTACCATAACACTAGGTTTCTCAGACCACTATTCCTAATTCCCCTTAACCTGTTTTCGACACACCACGGTACACAGGGCTGAAGCGTCCTTGACATTCTTGATGTATCAGCAGCTGTGAGCAGCTGCAGGCAAACCCTTGTGAGGCCCAGCATCAGCAGCTAGAGCAGGCTCTGATCATACAATTGTTTGGTGGGCTCAGGACCCTTGTCTCTGATCCATTCTCCAACAGGGGCAGATGATCCCCAAAATGAGGCTGATCTCAACTGCATGATGCCTGGGTTCATCACTTGACCCACTTGCAGCCTCTGGCAACAACCTCATCAGCAAGCATCTTGCGGCCAGACGATGCCCAGCCAGGCTGGGGACAGAGTGGGGACCAAAGGTGGGCAGGGAGAGAGCCTGGACACCTGTGTTCTCTCCCTTTAGGGCTGAGGGTGGACAGAGGGAAAACCTGGGTCCTCGTCTCTCTGGAGGGAAGTGATGCCCAGGTTCTTGCATCCTACACCTGTGTGGTCAAAGCAGGGAAGGAAGGCATGCTTGGACACCTGGGTTCTCTGCCAGTTTGGGATTGTGTATGGAAGATGGGAATGCATAAGCTATATCTGGGCGCCCCTCTCAGCTGGACTCCATGTTAGAAATGAAGGGGATGCATATATTTTCCCTTAGGACAGGCTCTCAGCAGACATCTCCCTGTGGGCACAGTGAGAATTCAACCCTGTGAGTGACATCCTGGCCGTCCAGGCTGTACTGCAATATCATGACCCCCCTGGCCACCGAGGTATCCTGGGAACACATTGGAAGCTACTGGAGATTACTGGGGACATAAGCTGGTTACTGGGTGGTATTGTGAAGTTACTGAAAGATTACTGGTGGTTACTGGGAGGCTACTGGGAGGTAGCTGGGGGTGACTGTAGTTCCAGCTCTCACCTGTGCCTGTCCATGGATCTGGGCATAGAGTAGGCTGTGTTGACCCTGAAAGATGGACTGAGGCATACCCCCCAGCACCTCAAACTCCAGGCCACAGGGCAGGGTCCAGCTCAGAGACTCAGATGCTAGCTTGAGCACTCGCTTCAGGAACTTCAACACCTGGGGACAGAGAACAGGACACCATAGTGCACAGATCTATCAGGGCTCAGCCCATGGACCCTGGTGTTGGGCTTCCCTGGGGGACAGTGGAATGTGCGGGGTAGCCTGCACTGGCTGGGTTCCCTGGGCAAGTCAGGTCTGTTGGTTACAGTGGGGCAGAAGCCCAGGCACCTTGGTTCTCAGTGGGGTAGCATCAGGAGAAGCCTGAGTGCCTGGGTTCCTGGGGCAGCTGGGTCTCAACTACTGTGTGTGGGCAGTTCAGGTGCTGGGGTGCTTGGAAGTCAGTGTGTCTGTGGACTAAAGGGGGACCTGTCAGGGCTCCTGGGTTCCTACCACAATTATCACACTGTTGTCAGAGGAGAAGTAGGTAGCTTCACCCCCCCTGTGAAGCTACAGCCAGGGCTGTAGCCAGGGCAGCACTGTCCTCAGAAAAGCAAGAGAAACATCTATGGGGAAGCAGGGAAAGGTGTCAGAAACGAGAGCCAGAGGTGGGTGAAAGGATGCTGGGATAGAGCTGGAGAACACAAGCTGGAGTTAAAGCTGGGGGAATAAATCTGGGGTGCGGAACAAGGGGGAAGGAAGAAGAGCAGGGAGTTGAGTGAGGGATTGTGGTTGGGGCTGGGGTTAGACAGGGAGCTGGCAGAGGAGAGCCAGGACACAGGGCAGAGCTGGGGTCAGTCTAGTGGAGCTAGGGCAGAGCTCGGGTACACTTTGGGTTGTAAAAGCCCTGTGCCTCAGTTTCCCTGCTTGCTCTGTGAAGGGTGCCTTGGCTGTGGGACTAGTAAGTGAAGACTCCCACATGGGGGGCTTGGCACAGGAGAGCTGTGCAAGGTAGGAATGGTCTTTGGGACATGGGAGGGGCCCAAGGATTGGGACAGGCACTGGTGAACAGGGGCCCTCATCAGGGATGAAAATGACTAGACAATCAAAGTGCAACTGGAGGGCTGAGGGCAGAGTCCCCATTATTAGTGGCGGTTGCAGCGATGTCAGGCCTCAGCTGCGATGGCTTCCTTGTCAGGGGGTAGCCTGGCCATGAAGATGAAGATCTGGGAGAGAGGGGAATGAGTGGTGGGGTCCTTCACAGGGACCCCAAAATGTGGAGAGCAGGCCCCTGAAATGGAGAGAGGGGCCCAGGAGAGAGAGACCCCCTGTACCGAGACTACTCCATGGAGAGATATCCACTCAGCGACAGAAATCCCCACAGATATAGACCCACTTCTCCACCCCACAGTATCCTTCTTGTTTCCTTATGACCACCACATACCTTGGGTGGCTCCTTCTGCCCACACTTCCACCCTCTCTTCCCCTGAGACAACTATCCCCCTCACCCCTCCATGCCCCTGAACCCAGACCTGGTGCGTATGCCCGCAGGGGTGGGGGGTATCGTAGACTGAGAGGAGGGTTCTCAGCAGATTGGTGTCACCCAGGCTGAAGCCAGTGGAGGGGATGTGCCGCATGGCCTTGGTCAGGTTGTCCTGAGTATATTCAACACTTTGCTTGTGGGGGACACAGCATGTTTGGAGAGCACACTGCTGTATGCTGACCCTAGTGCCCCCTGAGACCCTGCCCCACAGCACTTCCCACAGCTATGTCATAGGGTTCTCTGCAAGTCCCTGCCCCATAGTAGTTCTTGAAGAGACCTGGCTTCATAGTCCCTACAAGACTCTGCTCAACAGAACCCCAAGAGGTGTTATCCCATAATGCTACAAAAATCCCATCCCCAGAACCCTGCCCTGCCAGTCATGCCCTCCAGCAACCAACCTTACCTCATACCAACCAGCCAATTTCAGAACATGCACACCTGCCCCCCATAGCACCCATTCCAGCCCCACAGCACCCAGTCATGCCCCACAGTATCCAGCCCTACCCACCAGCACCTAATCCAGCCCCACAGCATCCTGTTTACTCACATGCAGATGCCCACAGATGTTGCTCCATAGCAGTAGATGTTGAAATAGCAGGCCATGGGCAGGCTTTTGAGAAGGAAGAGCTGGGAGTCCTGTGGAAAGACATAGCAAGCAGGTCTTGGGAGACACTAGTGGGGGATACAGATGCCTTTGCTCATAGTCGGGTCCTCCTGAAGCTTCTGGACTCCCCTGGATGACCTGAGGCAGTGCCCTGAACTTCCCTGGGCACCTGAGATATTTCAGGACCCTTTCAGGCCCCACCAGTCCCCACTTACATCTCTGTCCCTCCATAAATGCCTGCCCTGGCCCGCTCCCCCTCAACCTGCTCCTCCACCCCATCCTGGTCCCTGTTCTGAAGAGGTACCTGTTCATGTTCAAGAAAAGTGATGTCCAGGAGGAAGATGAACTCTCCAGCCTGGTGCTGCCCAGGCACTGCCTGAGGGATGCTGGGTGCCAGCATCACACACACCATGGGGTCACGAAGCAGGGAGCCTGGAGGAGGTATGGGGTGGGATTCAGGCCAGATAGGGACCCCCCTCCTCATCCTTGTTCTGATTCTCATTGTGCTTTTGGCTTCCACCATGCCAGAGCCTGTCATGCCCCACACTGGTACCTCAATACCCTACTGTACTGTCCATCAACTGCACCGCCCAGTGCCCCATGTATTCCAATCCAGTGACTCCAATAGAGCTACCCAGTGAGTGCTAACAAAGAACTCCCTGTATGCATCCTGCTATATCTGATACCTCACCACATTGTCCCCAGTACCCCACCATGGAACCCCAGGACCCAAACTATCCCATCTGAATGCCTCCTGTTCTATCCCAGTGTCCAACAATTTCTCACCCTTCCCCAAACCCCCAATGTGTCCCTGTGTCCCAATGCCTCCTGTAATCCAGAGGTGCCCTCATGTTCTCTCCCCAGCTGCACTCACCTTGTGTGGCCCCAGAGTCTCCCTTTACCACAGGACTGATTGTTGTGGGTTCTCCAAAATACACCAGCAGCTCCAAATCATGCTGACTTGGGGGGATGCCAGCCAGTGAGACCTGGAGAAGGGGTGCCTGGTCATACACAGGAGGAGGGAACCATGCCCAGCACCACTGGACCAGGCACACAGGCACTGATCTCAGTGCATCCCGTTTTTCTCAGTGATGACACCTCTCCCCAGATGCTCCCAGGATCCTGGCACTCAGAAGGGCATACCTGTGCCGTGCTGCGGTCCTGGACAGTGTAGATCAAAGGGGTGAGGGAGAAGTTGGATCTGGACATTGGCCAATCCACAGGGCAACTACAGGCTAGCGGTGAGCAGGAGGCTGTAGGGCAGCTTGCTAGTGAGACAATTGCAGGCTGCAAGGAGAAACATGGCACTGGGGAGGACAAAGGCTTTTGCTGCAGGGATGGTGGGCACATGATTTGGTATCCATATATAGGACATATGGAGAGAATTGGGGGTTGTCAGTAAGGCATATGGAGGGGTCCATGAGACTATTTATGGGAAATGTGTGTGGGAGGTGTGGATCCTCTCACGTGGCACAAGTGGATCTGTCCAGGGGCTGCAGGGGGGCGAAAATGTGGGCCCCGCTGTGGGTGCAAAGGGAAGTTGCATCGTGTCTGTTCATCGAGTACATGGCGAGTCTGTGGCCCTTCTGTGGGGTGTGTGACGGGGAGGGCAGGATCCTTGTAGGGTCACTCACCATGGAGTTTTGTGTAGGGATGCATTGTGGGTGGCAGCAAAAAATGGGCTGCTCCATCTAGCTTCCGTGGCAGCTCTTGGACATAGCGTAAGGTCATGACCACCTCTCTGCTAGTGGACAGGGTGCCCAGGAAACAGGCAAACACCTCACCTGGTTAATTAGATAGATTCTGAAGGTGTTCCAGATTCTCCCAGCCCCCTGCAGCCTCGTGCTGCTGCTGGGCCTAGGTGGGGAGGGGAGGGACAGAAAGCTGATCACCAGGCCAGACATGGGCTGCTTATCCCATGCCCCCCTGGTAGTTCTCCCCCCATTTGTCCCTGGATGCTGGTATCCTGCAGCGTGGCCTGGACCTTGGCATCCTCACTGCAGGCCTGGAAGGAGTAGATATCCATGTGGGAGCCCAGAGGGAAGACAAAGGATTTCTGTGGAGATCTGACTCTTGTTCTGGTAGATAAGTTTGGAGGCCACGTCAGCCACATAATCCTGGATAGCAACATCCACCACAGCACTACACAGAGGCACTGTGTGCAGGGGTATGTGGAGCCACTTCACCAGCAAAAAGGATCCTGTTGCTGTTGGGAGATGCAACCTGTCCATCAGCACACATGAACAACACAAGGAGGTGATTGGGGCTGCTTCAAGTATGTGGCTCTTCCCACCCTGGAAACCAAGACTAGGTGACCATTGTTTCTGAGGGCCTAGTGTGAGCCTGCCACAGAACACTGCCTACCCCCAATCCCCCAGCTTCCCTTTTTCCACATTCCTCTGTTCCCCACCCATTTCCTGTAGAGTTCATCCTTGTTTCACCCAGGGAAGAACCAGTCCAGATATTTCCCCCTATGACTGCCTATCCTTCTCCTCTCTTTGTTCCCCTTTGGGAGCATCTCCCATTCTCCAAAAGTCCCTCAGCTGTCTGATCCCCAGCTCACTGTCATGGGTGTAGGATTTTCCTAAAAGTCCAAAGTTCTGATGCCACATTTCTGAAGACCTGCAGACATGATGGGTCTCCTGTAAGAGGAGGGATCCACAGAAACCACCAGGCAGCCCCTATTTGGTGATGATTCCTTGCCATTTCTCCTACACACATAGCTGGAAGCCTCATCCCACCACATACAGCCAGAGCAAACCCAGGGATTCAGAAATCTGTGTTCATGAGCACTGGGATATCACCAGGAGTATCTCTACATTGAGGAGGTCTGCACCCCCCACCCCCACCATGGGAGAGTCTTGAAGAGAACTGAGAGATAGCAAGGGGAGATGGAAGGAAGAAGGTGTGAGAACAAGAGTGGATGGAGGGATGCATGGATGTGTGTGTGTATGGATGGGACTGTACTGGGATGAACAGTACATGACCATCCACGGCTGGATGGATAGACTGCAGACGAGGTCCATTTTGAGACAGATGGGTGCATAGGTGAACTGAGAGACACCAGAATTTTTGCTGAAAGCAACAGGTGGACAGGTGGAGGGGTCCATTTTAGAAGAGATGAGTGGGTACCCATCACAAACAGTACCGTGTGAATGTAGCTGCACAAGAGAGAGCACCTATGAGGGCAGCTTGAAAGTCCAAATAATAAGGGGGAACATGATGGAGAGAGAAATGAGGCTAGGGACAGGTATTCCATGATTGCAGAGCAAATCCCAGAAAGGCACAGGGGGGAGGGTGTAGTTCAAGTGGTATCTGGCTGTCTTCTGGCCACATGCCAGGAGGTGAAAGGGACTGTCATCCACCCCAAACCCATCCACATCAGTCTCTCTGGCTCAGACACATTTGCCTCAATTTCCCCAGTTCCTGCTCTGGGGTGACAGTGTGGGGAGCACCAGAAAAATCCCCACCCCACCATCATGCTGACAGGGTGAACAGGCAGAGCAATTAGGTTGTAAGCAAACAAGGGTGAGGGATGGGCAGACGGATGGATTGAATAGGGGTGAGCTCTCCCCAGTGAACAGCGACAGTGAACAGAGAATAAGGACAGAATAACGAAGCGAAGCACAAACAAGCAAACAGTCACCAGAATCAAGGCCAGGGGTGGACTAGCAATCAGATGGACGGAGGGAGAGATGGAAGAAGGGGGTGAGAGAGGAAGGGGCAAACGGGTGCGTACAAGGACAGAAGGGGAGGGATGGAAAGACAGAGCAAGAGATGTTGGGGGGGACAGGAAAGTGCAGGCCTGCGTCAGCACAGGGGTGGCTGCCACGGCGAGGGAGGCGGAGGGGCGGGCGGGAAGGTGGGGGGTGGTGGGGGCAAGGCCAGCGGGACGGAGGCGCATCGCTGCAAACCCCCTCCGCAGCACCCGCGCTCCTGGCTCCCTGCAGGCTGTGGGGGCAGCGGGGATCCTGGGTGCCGGAGAGCTTGGAGGGATGGGGAGGGGAGAGGGGACACCCCCGGTGAAAGGGATCTGAGCGGGGTCCCTGCACCCCCCCTCCCTGCCTCGGAAGCGAAAATGGCGAGGGGGCGGGAGCACCTGCAAACTGCGCCGTGGCTCGCCGCCCCGCGGGAGCTCCGGGCACAGCCGAGCGGGGATGGCCAGTCCCTCGGCAGAGCTGCTCCTGGCCCAACGGAGCCCGCGGGAGCTCCCCGCACCGCCCAGCCCCTCCGCTCTGGCCTTGCATCCAATGCGCTGGGCAGCAGCTGCCAGGGAACCCCTGCAACCAGGGCAGCGTCTTCTGTGCGCCTGTGGAGATGGCACTCGTCCCGCCAGGAACCTGTCCCCCCTGCCAGGCTGTCCCGGTTCGGGCCGGAATAGAGCTCCTGTTCGTTTTGGTCGCTGGAGGAGTGCTGCAGCACACTGAGATTTCAGGGACTCTCCAGCGCCACGTGCCCTGTCCGCGTGGGGGGCGGAGGGGAGCACAGCTGGAGCGCTGGGCCCGGATTGGCCGCTATTCCATGTCATGTGACATTATGCTCACCCTATGAAGGAAGGAGTTGGCAAGAAGGGGTGCGCTCTCTCCCTTTTGGGTGTGTTGCCACATGGTGTCTGGGTGTTTTGGGAGTTCTAACCGGAAACAGGCAGGTGTTGGTCAGTGGGTGGTGAACAGCTGTATTGTACATTAACCGTTTATGCTGTCACTGTATTATTCTATTACTATTAAACTGTTTTTATCTCAACCTGTGAGTCTCCCTTTGCCCTTCCGATTCCCTTCCCGTTCCCAAGTGGGGGGGGTGGGGTGGGTGGGTGAGCAGCTGGTGTGGTGTTTGGCTGCTGACCAGGTTCAAACCACGACACAGGCCTGCAGCACTGCCTGCAGATTTGGGGGCTGGACCCAGGTCCGTATACTGGTTAGTGCCAGGCTGTCAATGTGGCGGTGGGTTGCAGAACCAACATACCAGCCATCTGAGGACTGGGAAGAGCTGGCAGACAAGTTCAAACTTAGATAGCTACTTTTGACATGGGTGTTTCCTCTCATCTGCTGGATTGTGATGCTCTCGTCTCCATCTTCCACCCATGAGCCAGCCCCATGCTCATGCCTCCCTGGCAGCCAGCTCCTGGTTGAGATTACCCACCTTGCTGGTGGCCTCTAGACACTCAAGGGGCCCCATTGCATTTGACTTCAGACGTGTTGTTCTCAGAGCGCACCCTGGCTGTCTCTCGCTGGGAGCGTGCATAGCACTGAACTCTTGCTTCTCCAGCAAACCTGGTCAGCTTCCTTCAATCTGCCTCTCAGGACTGGTGTGAGTCTCAGACAAGACCACTCGCAGGGCTGTGCTGACAGTGTGACAGCCTCGGTCAGCACACGCAGTTCTAGCTGCCTTTGTTCAAATTCTGCCACAGTGCACCCAGTCTTGTTACACTTATGGAGGTCAAGTTCTTTGAGGAAGTGGGAGAACCAACGTTCACATGCTGCTGGTAAATGCGGCCCATGACTACCTTCAAGAACTGGTGGAACAACTCATGTTGTCTCCAGTAGTCCTGATGCTTATGAGTAGGCAAAAGAGTCACAGGTATAGAAGTTACATGCTGCACCTGAGCAGGTAGGGAACGCTTTCCTGCCTCTTGGATCTTCCTTTCCTCACCCCAGGTGATGATTCACACTTGGTCACAAAGTGCCACAAACATGGAACTGCTGACCCCTTAACCTAGCTTCACTTTCCCAAAATTTCTGTCCAGCTGCGATGCATACTTGAAGGTTCTCACTGAGTCCTGCTGGAGACCACTCGGTGTCTGTGAATGGTTTTGGGGTGCTGGACCTCTAGTATATTCTGAGCATCTCTGGAGGATGTCAAGTCCTTCAAGTCTGGGCCTCTTTTGAAGTGAAAAGAAATAATGCCTGGTCTTAGTGTGGTGTAAAGGTAGTTTTCTCAGGTGCTTACATATTTTCTGTCCAGACAAAACAGCAGAGTCTGTTGCATCCAAAATAGGAAGCAGAGGGGTGAACAAGCCGACTGGTGACTGGTACAAGGAGTTGCCACACGGCTGGAGGGAAGCTGTGTGCTGCTGCTGAGGGGATTATGTATCCACCCCCCTGTCTCTCACACACATACATGCTCTGAAGTTTTCCAACATTCACCCCGTGCTTTCATTTGTGAATTCGTCCCTGGTAGACAGCACTGCTCAGAAAGGAGGGGAACCGAGGTGTGGAGAGATTGTGGCCCTGGGTACAAATCCATGGAAGCAGTTGGTTTCTTAAGCCTGCATGGGTCCAGGCAATTTGAATGTGGAAGGCCCTGTCAGGGAGCAGTGACAGCCAGCTGCTCCACAAGGGAAGGTGAGTTGGGAGCCAAATGCAACACTAAGGTGGGTGGGAGCCAACAAGGAGTCAGGATGCTGAGGGGTCAATCAGAGTCAGGACTGGATCCAGGGACAGTGGTCAGGATCAGGCACAGACAGTGGTCACCCAGCAGGTCGGGTAACTGCAGGGACAGGCCCTTTCTTCTTGCGTTCTTCACAGCAACTCTTCTCAGCAAAGGCTGGCCTTAGATTCAGCTATCTAAACTGCTTAACTTAGCCAGCTGAACTGGATCAGGCTCATTTCTTTAAGAAGTCCCACTTTCTACATACTTCCCTCCTAAAATGTTCCCATTATAATAATTTCATTCTGTCCATGACCATTCTTATTTCTTCTGCTTTCAATAACAATGCGCAGAAATATTCATGAGGTAAGGGCACATGTGGAGTTTTAGTAATTAACTAAAATTTAAAAGTGAACGATGTGAGTTTGAAGGGTCTGGTCTATTCCGGTCTGTTTTAAGAGGTAAAATTCTGTTGCCAATATGTAAAACCCATATATATATATACAGCCAAAACACAAACATCTGTGGTGGGTTGACCTTGGCTGATTGCCAGGTGCCCACCAAACTGCTCTATCATTCCCCTTCCTCATCAGGACAGGGGGAGAAAGTAAGATGAAAAACTTGTGAGTCAAGATAAAGGCAGTTCAATAAAGAAAAAGGAAAGGGTGCATGCAGAAGTAAAGGAAAAAAAAGATTTACCCTTTACTTCTCAGCAGGCGACGCCCAGCTCCTACCTGGGAAGCAAGACCTCAGCGTACGTAGTGGTTGCTTCGGAAGACCAACACCTTAGTAATGAATGGGCCCCCTTACTTCTCCTTTCTCTTAGCTTTTACTGCTGAGCATGGCATTGTATGGTATGGAACAGCTCTTTGGTCAGACTGGGTCAGCTGTCCTGGCTATGTCCCCTCCCAGCTTCTTGCCCACCCCCAGCTGACTGGCCTTTGGTGGGGGTGGGGTGGTGGGGGTGTGGGTGTAGGCTGTTGGAGATTCAACCTTAATGCTGAGCGCTGCTCAGCAGTAACCAAAGCACTGGTGTGTTACCAACACTGTTCTAGCTACAACTACAAAACCCGGTACTATGAGGGCTGCTATGGTGAAAGTTAACTCCATCTGAGTCATACCCAATTCAACATCTATAGAACACAATTTGGGAAAAAATAATTCATTTTAATGTAAATTATAGACATATAAAAGTAAGCAGCTTCTTGCCATTTTGACTGATAATGGGAAACAAAGAAACGGAGAGACTACATTATAAAGATTAATAGGAAAGTTGCTTTGTAAAGATCTTATTTCATATGGAAAATTCTGTTTTCGCTCTGTTCTATTGTGTTTTTGTCTGAAAAAAATCTGCAAAACCTATGACATTTTGTGGGTTGTTAATAGTGAATTCCCAAATGCAGTAATGCCAGGGAACACTTGTTATTCCAGAAGGAAAAAATAAACAGTGGGACAACCAACTCATCACATACCAGTTCCAGATGGAGGTTCATTTTTCATCAGTACACAGGCAGGCAGAGCAGAGTCACAGTCATCTAGAGAAGGTTTATGCACTGGAAGATCCAACAGAGCTGCAGAGCAAAAGTACTTCAAGTGGGGGTGCATCATATCAGACTAAGCTGAAATCACATTTCTAAGAGGTAAATCAGATTATTTTTGGGTAAATCAGAAAAGATTATTTTATAACTCTCTTCTACCCTCTAACGTTGGTCCAGGGTGAAAATGTTAGGATGGACATTCATGCACAGGATAGGAAGAAAATTACAGCAGGAAGGATGAACAGGTTTACAAACAAGCATGCTGTCAATTTGTTAGATATTCACCGCAGTGTAACTGAATACCAAATTTCCTCACGTATTTTTTTAATTTCAGTTTGCACAGTATATTTGGAATGACAGAGGCAGAAATTCTACTTATAGTCTCAGAAGTCTGCCTGTAAGAATTACAAATGCAAACTGTCCTGCAGGAAGGTAGGGGAGAAATTTCCCCATGATCTTTTCTATTGAAATATGGTTTGTGAAACGGGAATAATTTTTATTCTACTTTGAAGTTTTACTCTTGGATATTCTATCTCAATGAAATTAAGATATTTCAATATAATTATCCAGAACTAAGAGTAGTCTGTGGTCAGTAGAGAGAAGGAGAGAAAAATCCTCTTACAGTATAGTTCATCTTAATTACATTGAACACTGACTGTGGGATTAGTATGTCCAGATATGTGTGTCTACACAGAGTTTATTTGTGTGTGCCACAATATTTAGTTTAGCAAGTAACACCAGGTTCCCAGCAGATCATTTTCTTGTTCCTCAGCCTTGTGTTCTTTTAACTTCTGGAGGAACTTCTTAACAAAAGAAGAAGATAAATTGATAGATTTAATAACTGGCAGTGTATCAAAATAAAAAATACATTTCTTCTCATGATTTTCTTCAGTATCTGTTACATTTCCTAGGTATGGTATTTGTCATCTTAGGTGATGAAATGGTCACCCACCCAGGAATTCTTCTCTTTTCCTTTCTTCTTCTAACTGAAGGTTTCTAAATCATAGCTTGTTTCTGTTGGCTTGAATATCACTTTCTGACCCTGCAGGTTTCAAAAAATATTGCCAGGTGAGATAAACCACACCTTTTAATATTTTTCTCAACATTTTTCTGGATATCTCAGGTTTTTTATCAAGTTCAGTATCCACAAACACTCATCAATCTGTCCAGTTCTTAGAAAATGCATATTGCAGTTTTCCACTGGTTGTATTGGTCTGGTATAGTCCAAGTCATCAAAAAATCTTGCTGCAGTTCTGTGTGATGGTTTCCCAATCCAAGGGAACAATTTTGTTTAAAAATTTACATAAGACAAAACCAAAAATATACAATAATCTTTCTCATAAATTACTATCTGGAGAATGATCAAGAATGGCTTAAGAAGAAACTAAACAATATAACTGTGCCATGTTAACAATATTATCTTTCTTCTGTAATTACTCAGTGATGGTGGATCAATAATTAAATGTAGCTCTTGATACTTTATTCCAGGCTGTGGTGCATTTCCTCTTGGCTTGACACATGGCAAATGGGGAATGCAGAAATAAAACAGTCATCACAACATTTCTGCTTATGGAATTTGGGAATATCCTAGAAATGCAGTTTTTTCTCTTCCTCCTGTTCTTGGTGAACTATGTTGTGACTGTGATTGGTAACACCCTAATTTTTGTCTTGGTGGCAACTGATCAGCACCTCCACAAACCCATGTACTTCTTCCTGTGCAACTCGTCCTGCCTGGAGACCTGCTACAACTCCACCATCCTGCCCAGGATGTTGTTCAGCTTTCTGACTGGGGACAAGAGCATTTCTATTGGTAGCTGCATCACACAATTTTATTTCTTTGGTTCCCTAGCAGTCACTGAAAGTTTTCTCTTACTGGTGATGTCCTATGATTGGTATTTAGCAGTATGCAAACCCTTTCACTACAGAGTTGTCATGAATAGCACATACTGTCTTCAGCTAGTAGCTTGTTATTGGATGAAGGTTTCCTTGTTATGGCCATCAGCTGCTTCCTGATTTCACAACATTCCTCCTGTGGTCCCAAGTTTATAGATCATTTCTTTTATGATTTCACTCCAGTGATAAAACTATCCTGCTGTGACACTAGCCTGACTGAAATGTTGGTGTTTATTCTTTCATCGGTATGCTCACTACCCCCTTTCCTACTAACCCTGGTGTCCTACATGTGTATCATCACCACTGTACTGAGAATGTCTTCCAATACTACGATGCAAAAGCCTTTTTCCACCTGCTTTTCCTATCTCTTTGTTATTACATTTTTTTATGGAAGCTTAATAATTGTTTATATCCTGCCTAAAACTAGGACTCTAAGAGCACTGAATAGAATCTTCTCAGTTTTCTACACTGTTGTGACTTCATTGCTCAACCCTGTCATCTACAGTCTGAGAAATAGAGAGGTGAAGGATGCTCTGAGTAAATTGGTCAAGAAATGTGAATATTTCCTAAAGGTTAGAAAGTTGTAACCATTTTCTTCCCCTACATGACAATGAAAGAAAATAACTTACTATATTTGAGGGAAGATTCTTCTAATGAATTTTTTAGCCCTCAGAGGCTGTTCTCTGTGCTGTAGACTTTTCACTATCAAATTAACCAAACTGACCCATCTTAACTGCCCAAGTGAGGGTGAGACATTTTTCTCTGGAAAAGGGTCATTTCTCTACAAGTTGTACCTGTTGCCTGGGTGACTAGTTCAGGTTTCAACATCTAACTAGTGATTCCCCAAATCAGCTGATTGCAATCCCACTCCTCTGAGGAGTGGCTCACTTCACTTTAAGAGAGTTGTTGAGGACAGCTGATTCTTAGATTAATAATTTAAATTTAAAGAGTAATTTTTTTTTTAGGCTGCTAAAGGTAGGTCAGATGAATGGACCTAGTTCAGAGGGAGCCATTTAATCTCTATTTTAGAGTAACTGTACTAGCATGACTATAATTGTCTCAGTGAATGTGAAAGCTACAGAGTTGATTGCAAAGCTGTAAGTTTGCATATTAAAAAAAAATGTAAATGACACACTAGTAACTCTTAATTGGTTACATTTTTAGACATTTCATATTCATATTTATTTGTAATTGTAATATCAGCTATTTTCAGCCATTTATATGAACTTACTTCATAACTTTTCTCTTCTAGACTCAACACTAATGTCAAACCTGAGCATTCCCTTTGAGTTGGTGAGGAGAAAAATATGGTTCACGTGGCTCAGATGACCTCTTTTAGACACTGAAGGAGCAATCCACAAATATAACCAAAATAATCTAGTATCTAAATTAACTGCCTGACACAAACAACTACTGCTTTTGCAGATACCTTGGGGTGTCCAAATCAACTGCCTGAGGCTTACATATGTAATAGAACATAAGGGAGACCTACACCCTTACGAATCGATGTCTGAAGGCCGAGTAAGATACCACCTAGCACCTAATGATACTAGACAACTATGTTTAGGAAACTGAATCTCTCCTTAGCACCTTTTCAGATGGTGTTGTGGTTTGGGCCTGATGGGCAACCAACCACCGCAGCTAATCACCCTCCCTTCCCCCTCCCCACCTGGGAATGGGGGAGGGATTAGAGGGGTGAAGGGAGACTTGCAGGCTGAGATAAGAACAGTTTAATAATGGCAATAAAATGAGAACAATAACGATGATGGGGGAAAACAAAAAGAAATATATAAACAGGCAATGTACAGCGTAATTGCTCACCACCCGCTAACCAATATCCAGCCCGTTCCTGGCTAGCAACCCCGAGATACCAAGATCCCACAATCGCAATCCCGGAAGCGAGAGAGCTCCTTCCCAACCACCCCTCCTTTATATAGTGAGCATGACGTTCCATGATATGGAATATTTCACTGGCCAGTTAGGGTCAGGTGCTGTGGCCGTGCTCCCTCCCTGCTCCCTGTGCCCTTGCGCACAGGCAGGACATGGGGAGTCGGAGAGTCCTTGAAGTCTCGGCAGCAGCTGAAAACATCAGTGTGCTATCAGCATTCTTCCCATACCAAACCCAAAGCTAAATCCAAAACACAGCACTCATCTAGTCCCTGAAAAGGAATATTAACTCTATTTCAGCCCAAACTAAGACAGATGGTTTGTGTCAGTCTGTGTGGCTTCCAAATGTATATCCAAAAGGCTGCCTGGCTTTAGATGTAACTTTGTGTATATCTTACATCCTCTAGAAGATCCAAAATGATACTAGATGCCTGTCTGTGTACACTTGAATTGTTCCTCTGTTTCTTATTAACTGATCAGCTCATTAGACTCCTGGAAGCACTAATCAAAGAACATAAGATGTGAGTGTTCATCACCTCACAGAATCAAAAACAAAGCCAAATTTATCATCATTATTGGTTATTGATATGATTGAGGCATGAGTGTCATGTTTAACATAACACATTAATTAATTCCATAAATAAGTTACTTGTACCTGTTGCACAGTCAGGTGCTCTGAGTACAAGAACAGTCCAAATCCATCACACTGAGCTTATTTCTGAGGAATCTCATGTGCAAGGTAAACAGGACTTGAGTGCTCAGAACCTTTGTGGTGTATGCCTTAGTGGCACATCAGTGCAGGTGGATTCTACAGGAAAATTGTGGTGGGGAGTAACTGTTCTGTAGAGCTCTGCACAAGAGTTTGCCACTTGCAACAGAAATACATAGGTCCTTTTTAATTATAATACATAAAATGGAGTAATTGGGTCCCTTACATGCCATGGTATGCAAAATTTGATTAGCCTCCTAAATCTGGCACTTAGGATCAAATCTAATGAAGGAAATTATTTTACCTCCCTTTGAACACAGCAAATTCACATTTCTCAGGTGAAGCTCCTTATCCTATAATCCATTTGTAGTTAAGGGATATAACCAGGCATTTCCAAGGCCCATCCTTGACTACAAACCTGACTTTTTTATAGAATTTAGATTAACAGCTGAGAGAAATCTGACACTGAACTAAATGAGAAGCCAGAGATCAGTTGCCAACACAAAGGTGCCTAGTAGTATTTGCTGTGCTCTAAGTATTCTACCTGCCTTCCAGATGCTGCTCCAGAAATATCTAGTTCTCAAAAAAATTCCTGTGTCATATCTTCCTGCCATCTGTAAATTGGTTTAAATTCTTACGTTTAGGCAATTGCACCCAGCTCATTAGTTGTCTGGATCTTCAGACCTAACTGACTGCATTATTGTCAGAGGCCAGCTTCTCTGACCAGGTTCTTTTAGATGTTCCATGTGAGAAGTATTTAATGCTTAGTATAGAATTTACCTATTTGAAGATATTTGGCACCACGTGGGATTTTGATTTAGTGGAAGAGTACATCAGTGTACTGAAATCACAGCACAAGCACAATATAGCAATTGCAATGTATAGTTAAACAACAATACAAATGTGATACCCATTACCATTCTCTCTATGCTCACCATCACGATGCTGGGCACTCCCAGTTGCCAGGAAGGAATACATGGGTTAAAGTCAGCTCAACTTGATCACTCTCCTCAAAGTTCATTTTATCAGCTGTCAAGTTGTTGTAGTTTATGTTGGGCTGAGCCATGCATACACTCCCTTTATCCCTCCACCATGCTGGTCTGGTTAGATCAGGAAGACATTACCCTCTACTAATTATGTCAGGGAAGGCTATGTATACAACCTGATGACCCACGAGTAAAGCTGTATATCTATATTAGATTGTCCTTTATGTTGAGAGAAGTTCAGCTTACCCTACAATAATTGTTGGTAGTTCCTTACATTCTTTCTGTCGCTCATCACTCTTGCCCAGATTCAATGAGACTTCTTCCATTGTGGAGGTGTGTTGGTCAGCCACAGTTAATTAGGACACCAGTTTACAGTGAGAAGAGTTCAGTCAGATGGCCATCGCACACAACCACACCTTTATTTTACACAGAGACATCTTAATTTTAATCTGATGTCTTCCCAAAGGTGGCTAGAGATAAATGAGACGAAATCCACCACGAGTTTGCAATTGCCACACCACATGACTGGGGGACTTCACTAGTTTCTGTGTTATAATATATGTGGCAGTCCCATGCAGATGTTGTTGGATATGCTAGCTACATACACGCATTGAACTGAATTGAATTCCTATTCAATGCAATCAGCAGAGGGTGGGACTCAGCTGGTACTTACAGAGGTAAACAGTTGTCCAGACTTAGGCATCGAGCACCCTAAGATATGTCAACTGTCCTCATCTGCTAATCTAAAAGGGTCTTATTTTTTCTGTAGGTCCTGTACCATAGCTAACAACATTACATAGGTGTATACCCTGGTGCATCTCAAATGTCATGTTTGCCTGTGTTTAGGCAGCTGAATCTCACAGTGTTGCTGTAGACATATGAAAGTAGGTGAGATGATCAGCATCACTTGCTTCCTTCTAGTGGCTGCGTGATGTCCTGCACTTCTCAGTTCAGCATTACACACTTGTACAAGAAGTCAAAGAGGAACCATGAATATTCATCTCTCCACATCTACAAAGGTTCTTTGTTCCAAAATATGTCTTAAAGAGACTGAGGTACCTGGTGAATGTTGAATCTTATCTAAATTTGTTTCTGGAGCAACGTCCCAGTGTTCTCCTTGTTATTGAGAATCCCCTCTGAACTGTGTCAGTGAGGTTTTTTCACTTGCTTTCTTCGCTTCCCTGTGGTCTTCTTTTTTGGGTGTGATTCCCCTTATTTTAGGAATTCATAGTGTGAGATTGTGAAGCCTCCCTTTATAGTCAGAGGAAAGAAATGATCATTTAAAGGCTGCAATTCATTTGACCAGCCCTTCAACCAGATTTATGTTCAAACAAACACACAGATGCATAAATGTAGGTGTCTATAATGAAGGTGTTTCCCTGTGAGCTACTTCCCTGTGTGCTGGGAAATTAAACCCTTTATTTATCTTTTAGCCAGCAGAGCTAAATACAACAAAATTGCTCTGGAGAATTGCTCATCTGATGAATTAGAGCTTTCTACTTCAGGGAAACTGTGAAAGCTCTCCACCCTCCACTGGGATAGAAAGCAACCCAAAAATAGGCAACTAATGCCACTTAAGATGCCCGAAGATGTCAGAGACAACCACCACACAAGTCAAGAAGACCATAAGAAACTGGTACCCTCCTGGAGGTGTGGAAGGATATGCTTCTGTCACCTCAACTTCAGTGGGCTTGTTGGCTAGGTATGTGGGGTGCAGATACAAACACATAAATATCTGGTGCTAAATATTGGCTACTCTAGGGGATCCCACCTTGCTTTCAGGTGCCATAACAGCATTCTCTGGGTTCTATGTCATATATGCCAGTGCCAGCTCAATATGGAATGGAGCAACTGATTCTTGTCTTTCTATTATTTTAGGGACTACCAAACTTTTAATTTTCAACAACCTGAAGCAAACTTTAGAGGTGGGATTCCTCTCACAAGTCTAAGTTTCTACACTATAGACTCTGTGTCAGCATTTGCTAGCTCCCTTTACAGTAAGTGG